TTCCCTCCCATGCTGTGCAGTTGTGATTCCGCATGTAAATATTTGGGCGGGACACAAACTCGAGAAACAGAGGCCCCTCTGTACAGCTGGCGGGCGAACAAAATGCCAAGCAAATGGGCTTGTGACGTTGCCGGATCGCTCTTGAATGCATGGGAAAGAAAAGTAGGAGTCAAAAAGAGATGACTTTTTTTTCCTTTGGAAAAGAGAGCAAGAGAGAGGACAGCGTCATCTTTGTTCGGCCCGTGCAGATAATAATCTGAGTGCTGATTCAGCTGGTGAGTACCATGAGAGGTAGCGCGCTGCTGTCTCAGGCCTTGGAAAAGCGTTCCATCACCCCCATGCATCACATAGTCATTTGTAAGGCTTCCCTTACGGCCCGCTGAGACTGTCCGGTTATGACAGAGGAAGAAAATAACAGCCCACACCTCAATGTCACCCTCGCTGAACTGCGATTATTATTCTTCTGTGCAAACTGCCGTGCGTTATTCCGTCTCTTTCAGCAGAAGACACTGACAAATGCACAGAAACTGTACAGATCTCCATCAGCTCGCACCGGCATATATGACAAACATCCAGCTGAAGCCTGGCACGGGTCGAGCCTGGCAGATATCAAGTTATGATAGCCGTGTTGACTAATTTAGAGCAAGATTGAATTCCTTCACCCCCCTCATCTCTCATGCTGTCAAATAAAGGCCTCGCGGTCTAGACTGATCCTATCAAAAAAAAGCTTAATTAGCTTGTAATAAATTCTCATTTCCGTCAGTCTTCTACAAAGCCTCGGCCAGCTCCGTGTGTGCCAGCTGACAAACGCCCAGTAATTTGATACTGGCATTCAGCGGGTTCCCTTCCCGCTGCCCCTTTCTCCCCCTCCGCCATTTCACAGGAGATCTTTAAATGTCACCCAAACACACACACGTGTGAGTGCAGCATTTGTGAGGCACTCTCGAGAGCTGGAGGGATTAAAATGTTTGAGCCAGTTGTTTCAGGAAGCAGAGGTAAACAAAAAAAACCAAAAAGAAAGCGGTAGATGAGGATGGTGAGACTACCGGTGTGTGCTTCTTTTATTAAGGTAACACTGGTAGATATCTGTTGGTAGCACGTGACCAAGAAGAAGCTGCTTGGCTAAGGCAGAGATTTACATCAGATGCCCTTCCTGACTCAACCTCAAAGGGGATTTGTGTCTCTGTTTGGAATTGAACCAAGAAATGAATATGTTAGCCACAACACTAAGGAGTCATCACTTGCTAATATATTTGGTAACCATATTTTTTTCTTAAACGTGGCACGGAAAACTTGATTTCCACCCATTAAATACCTGTAGACGTCATCGATTACTGGAAGGTTCCAGGCGCTTAAAGCCTGTTAAGTTCTGGGAATCATCTGAAACAAACCCTCACTATCCTGATCCTGATTACCCAGCATTTTGACCTACACGTTACCATCTCAACTGCCAGCTTCTCAATCAGAGCAAAACTTTATTTCCTGTCAATTCCTGGCCTACAAATTCCTGCAAACAATCATTAACCTGCACCTCCGCAGCAATGTGCAGTCCCGTTTGCTGACTCAAACACCGCTTTTCATGCAGCGAAATCAAAAGTTGCAAGCCAAAAATTCTCCCTGTCGAGCTCTGCCAAAACAACGTGTTCAAGAGAAAGCCGTCATCTGTGATGTGACATTTTCATGGCACATCTTCTCAAGACACTTAGGAGACTAACTCAGCCGCCCCCATCCTTCAAACAAGTGCAAATCTGACTGAACACACATGACTAACCCTCTTCACAACTACAAGGACAGAGTGTGACTGTTTATTCATGACCTCAGAAAGACAAGTTTGATACAACCCCCCCCCCCCCACAAAAAAAATGTTTTTTTACAGTGCTTTTTAATGGACATCAGTGGGATGTACGGCTGCACTGATACACTCTTTCACAATCATAGTCCCTGCACTTGGACCAGGTCAGATATCCCAAGTGTGGCACATTCTCTGGGTTTCCAAGTCCTTTAGTGGAAGTCGATTTATTGAAGTCGCACTCTGGTTTTTTGATGGAAGACTTGCTGAATTTGAAAATTCCCAGAATTCTCAAAGGTTTTTTTCCCCTTCTTTTTTATTTCCAGGTGGAAATTAAGTAAATTTATGAATTAATTTATGTATTGCTTCATAGTGTAGTGGTTAGTACGTTTGCCTAACACGTGAAATGTCAGTTGGAGACACTGATTGCAAAATCACATATGCAGATCCAACCGCTCTGGTGACCCCTTTCAAATAAAGGAGCAGCTGAAGGAAGCTTTAATCAATTAGTTTAGTTAATTAGTTCACTATTTCACCAATATATAATTTATGAGGCTGAGCTGAATATTATATTCATGCTTCAGACTGGCTCTGTTAGTCAAACTGATGGCTGGATTAACCAATCGGTAGATGATCTGGTTTTTGCATATTATTCGAATTGCTTTCATACAACACGCCTCATTCACGTCATTCTTTTCTACGTGCGATAAATTTGACGAACGCATCAAGAGCAACTCCGGTTTGAGTATACTACCCACGGTAGCTTTTGCATGCACACTGGAGCAGCCGGAGACCGAGCCACCAACCTCACTCTCATGATCTGCTCAGTTCCAGCTTTAGCCTCCTTAACCCTTTTCAAGCTACCAGGACCAGGCTGTATATGTGCTTAAAACCCCAAACTGCATGATGTTCAAACAAGACGGTCAGTATAAGAAGCTCTGACTAAATTAGGTGCAGGTTCAACAGCATCAGTGTGTTTTTTGTGCTTTAATCACACACAGTCCTGGTTATGGGGACAAAAAGGTACAAATCCTCCTAAGCATCTCTATTAACAGGCTTGCTCCTTCTGACCTCACTCCCGGGGAGCTGTAATTGGCTGATTTTGGGGGATGTTCTCTCAGGTGGAAATTTCATGCATTGTCACGCATGCCAGTTTATTTCTTTAGTCTCAAATCACCAGGAACATTAGGGCTGAGAGAAGTCAGCCAAGGTTTTCTTTTTCTTTTCGCCTTCCATGAGTTTAAAATGAGAAAGCTGATCAGGCCCGTTTCCACGTGGTCATCGCTGATCTCTGAATGACTTTTGTGGGTTTCACGTTTGTCTAATTGAAAATGAGAAAGCTCTCTGGCTGTGTGAAAACATCCACGCTTGGCACAGATGAGGCGCCCACATAGTTCACAGCGTGTGCACCCCTGTAGACCGGCTGACTGGAAGGACCGCTTCAGACATTTGTCTCGCAGCAGGAGACAGATTCAATCACCATTTTATAAGTGAACATCTTTCGCCTTGACTTACTTCACCCTCGCACGGCTTCACGTGGGATTGATATATGATGTGTGCTGTCATTTTTTTATACCTCCAATAAAGAGGGAGAGAGCGAGAGAGATGGGGGTGGGGCGGTGGGGTAGTTATAGGAAAGAGTGGAAAGACAGCACACTCAGCACTGCTCAATGCACACAAACACAACATTTTCCCCAAGAGGCATAGCTCAGATTCCTAGGCTACAATTTGCATCACAAATATCCCGGAGTGGGAGTGCATGCACGGAGAATAAATAAACCAGCGAGGGTCCCACTTTACTTCCCCATTCATCCCGGGTGTCACCCATCCATCTGCGCATCCACCCTCTCCATCGCCTTGCATCCAAAGATCCAACCGGGACTCAGGAAGAGAAAGAGAGAGGTGGTGTGTATGTGCAGAGGCCAAAGAAAAACAGAGCTGTCTTTAGAGGCGGGAAGGGGGAAAAGCATCCAGGAATTTAATTTGGAATCCTTGGAAGTTTGGGGCCAAATTCACCTCTGAACATGAATCTGACAACTTTCCTGTTGTGCCGCCTCATAAGTGCGTTTCTGTTTGTTTTTCCTTGGCTCAGCAGTCTGTGCCAAACACTTGATTGTGTCAACTAAGAGCCCAGATTATGGATCACTTACTGAACTCCAAATAACTGGACAGAATTCCAGAAGAGATATCACACCAAACCAAATCAAATTAGAATTATCGATGAATAAGCGTGGGAACAAAAACCCATTGGAGAAAAGAAAAAAGTTGAACTTAATGATTTACTTCAAATAAGAGCGCAATCAAATCATGCATCATAAACAAAACATCCCAGCGGGATTTAAAACCTCAGCAAACACCCTACAAGGGCGCCAAAGGAAAGATCTGTCAGAGCACATAAATAAAACACCATTAACTTTACTATAAATTGACTGTCGAGTGTCACTGACGCATCCGAAGCCAAAACAGGCACGCTGAAGAAGCATTAAAGTGATTTTCGTCAAGGGACCGACTCCACGGGGGTCGCGATGATGATGATGAAAGCGAGATGTTTTCCCACTGCCTGTATCGCCCTCAGAATATCTGCTACATCTAAATTATTCAAAGACAGTAAGGAATTAAAAAAAACTGTGCCACTGGTGCAGCCCGAGTCTTATATATAAATATATTAGTCTTCGAGTCTTCTGGGGAATTAAACTGAAACGATGGCGCATTCATTCATACTTAGTGAAGGGATCTAAATAATCTAAATCAGCGCAGATTCGCAGTCTGTTTGATGACAGATGTTTTTTCTTTGTTGGGAGATTTCATTTGATGTTATCGTTTTCGAACCAGCATATCTCGCGTAAAAAAAAGAGAAAAAAAATAAAACTGTGTTAAAACGACAGAAGAAGGACAGTTTGGGGAGCTTTATTTTATTTTACGCAGATGCAGTTGAATGACAGTTTCCTGTAGGTGCGAGAGCGATAATTGAAATCAGCACCAGCGTGCCAGGATGTGAACTTGTGTTAAGTTTTGGACCAGAAAGAGTCAGAAACCCGGCGACCTTCAGTTATCATTTAGTGGAATTATTGTTAAAGTCTCTGCAGGGACAGAAAAGCATCGGCTCTGTTGCTCTTTGGATGTCTCAACTCTCACTTCATCGGTGCTTTTCAAGTCAGACCCTGACCGAATAACGGAGGCGCAGAGACGCGCATCCCCAAAAAGCACTCACCTGATTGCGCCGCACAGGATCCGATCACCGCCAAAGTGACGAGGACGCAAGCTGGGAAGAACTTCATCTTGGGGGGCGGGAAGAAAAAAAACCTGCTTCTCTTGTTAACTCCCGTAACTCACATGTCCAATTAAGATATCCTCGTTGATCACACGCGTAAAAAAATTAACCAAAAGAGAGAGCGAAAGAGAGAGATAGAGAGAGAGGAAGGAAAAAGAAAAAAAATAAAACCCCGTCGGAGTCTTCTTTTGCGCTTCTTGGACACCTGGCACCGTTTCCGTGCGCCGTGGAGAGCTTTTACGCACCGCGTCTCGTTCTGTTTGCGTGTCGGTTCCTACTCCAGTGTTTAGGTCGCTTTCCACCGCGGATACTCTGAGCCATTTACTCCTCACACTGCCATCGCGCCGGTGGCTGGGGGGAGGGAGGAGGAGGATGGGGGGGGGGGGGGGGGGGGCGCGATGTGCGCGCGTGCGTATGCGTGTGCGTGTCGGGCGTCTGAACACGCCTCCTTTGGAATGACCGACACCTCCTTCGCCCTATTAAGTCCCATCCAAAAGATTTGGAGCGTTTAATACTTTTTTTTTCTTTTGGAAATCCGCCCACACTACTTATCGCCTCTCCTGATTGGCTATTAAGCTCCAACGCTGCCGTCGATACACCTGTTAGGAGCAGGTTTTGTTTTGGTTTCTGTTTGGCTGCTGTGTCGGCCACTGTGCTCTTCGTTATTGCTGGGAAGACAAATTACTTAATATCTGATCCTGATCATGATGTAGGAAGTAGTTTGTTTAGGGGTTATAATGTGACAGACAGAAGACATCAGTGGAACACCCCACAGTGTAGTTTCAGCAACACCACGAAAGTTTCCTGCTTCGCCAGCAGGGTCAGCCTCTGCAAATACCCACCGCTACGAGGCACAGCCTATAAAGTTTGATTGTGCTGGTGGGAAGAAGCCGCAGTGAAGGCAAAAAGCTGGAGCAGTGTACCATTTTCAGGGCCACTCATTTTACAAGCCAGTCTGCCCACAGATATTCTGCACTCTGCTTTTTATTTGTGGACTGACGTGAAAGTATGAAACGAGCTGGCGAATCGACGAGGACAAAAAGATATTGATTTGCGATCCGTGTAAGGCGAAAACTCGACCGTAACTGGAACTATTGGAGAATTAGTGTGAGGACCATCCTTGATACAGCCTCACGGTGCCTGAAGGGATGGTTTATTTAGTGTCCTTTGCTGCTCTCTAGGGGAATTCACGGGGAACTGCTCGGTTCTGAGCCTTTTGATCATAAAGCTGCTGAGTAGTGCTGTGCAGTACTGCACATTTTGGCATCAATATGATACCAAGTATTGCCAACAACGATACCAGTACTTTTAACCTATTTAACCTAATTAGGTTAACATAGCAGAGCAGTGTGTCATGATTTAAGAGATGAATCGTCATCAGTTTGCAAAACACATTTTAATGACATTAAATCACTGTGATTTTCACTTCCTTTTAGCTTTTAATGTCTTTAGAAACTAGTGTGTGTTTGAGGAATATTTTTTCATCCCTTCTCCGAAAACAATAATATTTTAGTTAATGCAATTCACTGGGATTCATACTGAAGTTAGAGAATAAAAAGTATCAAACTTATCATTGTAGTATTAATCCGATGCCAATACGAGCCCTGATATTGATGCTATTGATATAATTTCGATCCACAAACCTCTGCTGCTGAGGGACCTGAAGTGAAGGCCGTATCTCCTCAGTAGCATAAAGGCGGACATCAGGACCCTTACAAAAATCATTAAATGGGTTACTTTGTTTGCTTTTCCATCACAGATGTGTGTGTAATCACTCTCTAAAGTTTTCTGCATTTGAAAAGTCACATAAATATTAAACTGTTTTCATACAAGCTGTAGATTATATTGGGATACACACAAAAAAAGGTACTTTAATGTATCTGTAGGGGGCACAACCAAAAGTGAATGGGAGAGTGAACTCCAAGGCACTGCCTTTGTGCATTTGACAGTGCACAACAGCAGCTATTTGTAGCTTTTTGCTTTGTGCATTCCAGAGACCAGTTCTGTACCTCTGTAATTGTGCAGCTTTTAAAAAATTAAACCTTTAAAAAAGGTCAAAATTGTGGATATGGGGTTGTCATGGTTCCCCAAGTAATTGTGTGTGACGTTTTCAGCTTACCTCCCTTCAGCTGAAGATGTGGCTGCCCAGGGCTCCTGGCGCACCCATTTATCATCGACACTTATCATCAATTCAATTCAATTTCATTTATATTGTACCAAATTCCAAATTGCAAAGTAAATGCCCTACAACCCTTATAGAGAAAACCCCACAACAATCATCTATGAGCAAGCATTTGGCAAAAGTAGGAAAGAAAAACTCCCAAAACTCAGACCGGCTGGGCGTGAGGGCAATGAGACAGGGCAAAAATACACAGTATACAGTTTATAACCTGCCACTCGCCATTCATCAGGTTGTTGAGCTTCCCAGTGTGGTAGCATCACTCAGTCTTCTTTGGTATTTATTGATTTTTTGTTTACATGCCAACCTTACCTGTAGAATCCTTCCTGGTCCATCAGCCTGGCTAGCTTCTGGTCATACCTACAAGCGCCACTCTCACCGCACTCAAGAGTACTTACCTGACCCTGTGGAAAGCAGTGAATATTCACCTGCTTTGGAGATTCTGAAAATCAGAATCAACTTACCTGAATGTGAAACTGACAGAATTGGAGAAAAAAAATAGTACAAAGAAACTTTGGCAACTGGACCAAATCCTTTCTTGAGTGTAACTTGAGTTTGATTCTCAGTTATATTGTGAATACTTACCAGTTGTTGTTCATTAAAATTATTACATTTCTTCAATCTGTGTCCTGCAATTAAGTCTTATGCGCAAATCACAGCAGGGTACAGATTCATTTAATAAAAATATTTTAATATGCAGTTGTACACATGGGCAATAGGCTGGAACATCTGAACCTAAAGATGCAACTTCACCAGGTAACCTGACACGTAGTCTTTAGACTGTTTGAGGAAATCTGAGAACCCAGAGAAAATCCACCAAGCGTGAAGTGAACAAAAGATGCCACAAGTTCAAACCCAAGAACTTTTTACTATGAAGTGACAGCGCTAACCTCTTCATCACAGTGACACTAAATATATGACAGATACAGAGTGAAATACGTATCCATCCGTTTTCATAACCACTCACCCAGTTCAGGGTCATGAGGGAGCCGAAGTCTGTCCCAGCTGTTGTTGCATAGATACACCTTGGATGGGCCATCAGTCTATCACAGGGCCTAAAGGTTTTCTGTTTTAAAAAAATGAACATTGAAACAATAAAATGATCAAATCTAAGCGTGGAGTTAATATTCTGCATTTTTTCTTTTTCTGCTGTCCGTTAAAATCTAGAAGAAAAGTTGCCTTGTTTGGTCACACATCTTAATCTTGTTCAAGAAAATGTGGAGACGCATTAAACCCGTAGTCTTCCTAATGATCAGGATGGGACGACTCTTTCCTCGGGTGATTTTGTTTCTAGTTTCAAATCTACTCCAATACAGCATAATGAAATGGTCCAATATTCATCAACTTAACACATAAATATCAAATACATATAAATAACATGTTGGATGGTTAATGTTGATCTGTAATGAGTGTAAGCTGTCAGTCTGCTGTTTACCTCGGCCTAAATATACAGATGTGGACAGTATCTGGATGTTCACATCTGCATATTTAGGAGGCTGTAAAGAGTCCAATACAAGTTGATGGGTCTGTGAAGCTCACTTCTGATGACACTGATACTGAATGAGTTGTTGAGGATGTGCTGAACCTTTCTAACAGCAAGAATAGCAGTTAGCCTCTGTTAGCTGCTGTTAACCTCCGTGTGTTGCTGTCAGCTGCTGTTAGCCTATGTTAGCTGCTGTTAGCCTCTGTGTGTTGCTGTTAGCCTCTGTTAGCTGCTGTTAGCTGGCATTGATGAAAAGTTTTTTGAAGCAGAGCTAACATTGTTGGACTAATTGAAAAAACTGTCATGTGAAAATGTAATCACATGTTTTTTTTTAGAAGGAAAGTGCTACTTTTAGGACATCCAAGCCTAATAATTACCTTAACTTGTAACTAGCTGTTATTATTGTTTAGCCAGTAATTGTCAGCTGTCCAGAGACGATAGAGTCATGTGTCTAATCTGCTGACAATAAGCTGAGCATTCAGTTACTGTGGTTCTGTTATTTTGGACCAGCTGCCTGCTGACTTGAGAATAATTACATCTGTGCACACACTAAGGGGGAAAAAAAAGAGTCATAATCTTTCTATTCACAAAGGCCAACACTTAATTGGTGTTTTGTTTTGCTTTGTTTTGTTTTAAGGCATTTTTTGCCCACACAGGTTTTTATGTCTTTATCTTCTGTGTTATTAAATATATGCTATATGTTACATAAGTTATATGTAATAAATGTTATTAAATAACCTCAAAAATACTTACAGTACCTTTTAAGTATTAGCATTTTGTTTCATGATTAAGATTTGCTGTTTGCAGACATGGAAATGAACAAATTCACTATCAAACACCAAAATGAACAAAAGCTTTTTAGCTCCACAATACCTACAAACTTAAAGAAGATGCAGCTTGCACTCTGTCAGTCTACACTCTGTAAAGTCAGCCACATGAAAACACTCATCGGAGCCACTGGATTACTCTCTCACACACCCATCGGCAGAGACAGCCACGCTGGGTGGCAGCACAATGCAGAGCAGCGCTGAGAATACTAATCAATCTGTTCCTGTGCAAAATTCCTCAGATAAAACATTCAATTATAGACATTGCGAGCTGCATGAGATTTGTGCCGATACGAGTGTGACATGAAAATGGGAATTCTGCCTTTGTGTGCTGCTGCTGTGAAATGGGGTCCCAGTGTGAGCCCACCGCCGGGGATGTCTCTGGGTATTCACACTAATGCATTAATCCTAATACAAATAAGGAATGGGGAAAATGTGACATTTAATTAAAGAGTCGTGATGAGTCTGATGACATGCTACCTCACAGTTGGCCTCTGCTGTGAGAGTCATGTATATATGAAAGAAAACCATCCAAATTCTAGATGTTAAATGGTTATAATTGGATTATTCAACAAAAACGTAAATACTGAGGGATTAAAACAGCAGTGTTTTTTCCAGACTCTAAATTGCTGCTATAAAGCATGCACTGTACACTGAACTAATTTTGGTATCTGACTTTGTTTTGTCCCCTGTGAGCAGTTCCACCCAGAAAGCAGCCGGACAAGGGGCTCAGATGACAAGCAGCGCTTCTATGATTAGGGCTGCAGCGAGGAGGGGAAAGGAGGGTGCCACAGAGAAAGGTCAGGGGGGCTTTTACACACAATCAGTTGCCGCCTTCTTGTTGACAGCACACC